CCTAGAACATCCGTCTAGAACGAACATGATGGAATGAATGCATTGATTAAAGAAAAGAGTTAAATTCAATTCTTACATATGTGCTTGATTATGATTTGTTCAACATGATGGCCCTGGGTTCAGAACTGGCTGATAATCGATTATCTGCTGTTGATAATCGATTATCATGCTGTGCAGCTTCTGTCCCCAAAGTCCTGCACACTGTGATAATCGATTGTCACCCTATGACAATCGATTGTCAAGTTGGTTTATCAGAAAAATCCTAAGTTCAGAGAGACCGGATAATCGACTATTGCTCTGTGATAATCGATTGTCAAGTGAACCAGCTCTAACTCAAGAACCGCAGGGTCTGATAATCGATTACCACTTAGGTGATAATCGATTGTCACACTATGCTGGATCAACTGAGGAGTTCAGCGTGACCTGATAGTCGATTATTCCGTTCTGTAAATCGGTTATCAAGGCACGCTGATTCCCATTTTGACTGTTTGGTTATCATCAATACGTTGGGAGTTTTCTTTGAAACGAACGTTTATGATTACATATTAAGTATTCCATGAATATACGGAATTTCAAAATGCTTGTATAAACGAGTTCGTAACTTGATAACACGGACTCTCGTATGTTTGATGGTTAACCTACGAACATGCATAGATTCTACGTAGATTGCGTACGATATTCCTATGAATATAACGACATAGATTATAACTAAATGTTCTAGAATTAGTGGGACAACTACTCACCTCTAAACGAAGGGGTTGATGGAACGAGATGAACGACGACAACGCTTCGCACGAATGGCCTAGCTCCTCACTCCTTTCCTCTCCCTCAACTGTGCACCCACCGGAGCTTCGTCGGAACCCTCCCTGGCTGCTGTTGCCTTGGCCGAAAGTAAGAGAGTGAGAGAGAGTGGAGATTGTGAATACTTGGGGGTTACAAAATGGGGTGTGAAGGGAGAGGAAATGATGGGGTTTTAATGGTGGATTAAGGAGACTATTAATTGGAAATGATGGGGGTGTTGAAGGAGCCGAACCAAGGGTCTAGGGAGGTTACAAAACTTATTTACTCCGTATTGTAAAAATCTGACCTGAACGGTACGCGCTTTCCCCCCCGAACGGGTCCGAATTGAAATCCGTTTGCGTTTCTGGAATCAGACAGTCAAGAAGAATTTAATGATATGATCAAATAATTTTTCTAAGAACTTTTTCATTTTCCCAACCCCGGTCCGGAACAGTAATTAATTAATTAAATTAATCAATTCTAATAGACCAGGTTGCAGGGCGTTACAATTATCCACCCCTTAAGAGAATTTTGTCCTCGAAATTACCTGATCAGTGATCACTGAAAAGATGTGGATAACGAGTGCGCATGGATTCCTCGGTTTCCCATGTCGCCTCCTTGACGGTATGACTTCTCCACAGAACCTTGACCAGCGGAATGGTTTTGTTCCTCAACTGACGGACCTCGCGAGCCAGAATCTCAACCGGCTCCTCCTCATACGTAAGATTCTCATCAAGTGTGACCGTATCAGCTCGAATCACATGAGAAGGGTCCGACCGGTACCTCCGGAGCATGGACACGTGGAACACATCGTGTATCTTGCTCAACTCTGATGGTAACTCGAGCCTGTAAGCTACAGGTCCTACCTGCTCAATAACTGGGTACGGCCCTATAAACCTCGGACTCAATTTCCCCTTCTTGCCAAAACGTAGGACGCTCTTCCTAGGCGACACCTTTAGGAAAACCTTATCCCCGACTGCATACTCGATGTCACGCCTCTTAAGGTCGGCGTAGGACTTCTGCCAGTCCGAAGCCACCTTAAGTCGGTCTTTAATCACCTGGACCTTCTCCTCGGTCTCACGAACCAAATCTGGACCTTCCAACCTCCTCTCGCTGAGCTCTGTCCAGCAGGTAGGAGTACGACAGGGTCTATCGTACAGAGCCTCGTACGGTGCCATACCAATGCTAGCCTGGTAACTGTTGTTGTATGCAAACTCCATGAGTGGCAGGTATCGCTCCCAACCATCCCCGAAGTCGATTGCACACGCACGCATCATATCCTCGAGAATCTGAATCACCCTCTCCGACTGACCGTCTGTCTAAGGGTGGAACGCCGTACTAAAGTGGAGATCGGAGCCCAATGCCCT